GCTTGTTTTACAACGTCGTTGCCAAGCGACGAAAACCCAACCCCGATGGCAAACGGCCTTAGCGGTTAGACCATTGACCACGAGGGGGGGATAGTTCGAGGGCAAGTGCTCGTTTTTTCGTGGATAACCACACGGTGGTGTTGTTACACGGGATGAGAACGACGAGTTTGTCGTCCTCTTGATCGGGCGTGATTCGTGGTGGGAGTGGCAGGTGGGCGACATCGGCGAACCGGAGAAGACGCAAAACTTTCGGTGATTTTCGGGTCTTCGGAGCGCCACTTCTCCAAGGATTTCAGCGACATCCGGTCGGTCAGTGAATTCTGGATCGAGGAAAGAATCGGTTCGTCCGGTTTGGCACCACTACAAAGCGTTTCGTTCTTGTCCGAGACTGAAACATTATGATTAATTCTACAGGACACAATCGTTATTGCGGGGACGGGGGGCTTTTCATTGTCCTCGTGCTGCTGGCGATTAGAGCAGGAAAACCAGGGGACAGGGGACAGGTTTCTTCTTCTCGTCGATGCGGCTCACGGCAGGGAAATTTCGCGAGGTGCAAAAGAAAAATGGCCTCCTCGACGGGGAGATACGACGGGGAGATACAGCATCCCGACGTGGATAATCCGCCTCGTAATCTCCCTATGTATGCTGTATGTGTGGGTGCACCCAAACTCCTAGAGACGGATAGCGCCAGTTGTACAAGTTTTTTTTCATTGATGGCAAGGTGCGGAGATATCCTCCTTCATCACCATGGGCACAAACAAGTGCCTAAACGTGTGTCGAGGAGGATGATCTGGTCTTAAAATATTGGCGGCGTCGACAAACAGATGCCTTATTATGGTGGAACATAACCCGGGATAACCCCTAAACCCGCCATACTCCCCAATACAATACAGACGCGCGTGCCTGGAACGCGAATCAGGTTCGGAGAAATGGCGACATTGCCTTTGTTGCCCGTTTGGCATGGACGGACATGGAATAAAAGAATCACAGGCATGGCGGAGGCTCACGAGGGCGTACATCGCCAACAAAACTACTTCAGAGGGGGTTCCTGTTTATTTGTGTCGGTATGTGCCCAGAAAAATCACCGGCAAATTCATTTGGCAATATGCCGGACCGGCACTGTTCAAAGTACTGAAAATGACTTGGAAATTCAGTGTGTGCCCACCGGGCAACACCGGCACTCTACCGGGCATTTGCCACTATAAAAATGGCACTAAACAGGGACCCCCTCTGTACTACTATTATATACTGTATGGGTTTCGGTCTCACCTTGACGAAATCGGGGGACCCGCAGTCTGGTCCTCGATAGAACGCCGTCGCGGACTGCACGAGAATCACCTTTTGAATTAATAAAACACATTCCGAATGGCGTATCATGTTAGCGGTCGGGGGCATCGGCGACGGCAGACGAGATTCTAGAAGGCGGGGAGGGGGGTGGGGACGGCGAGTCGCACAGGGGACCAGAGCCAGTGGTAGCCTTCGCGAGGGTATTATATCTTGGTTTTAGTATGGGGGTACGCGGTTGGGGTAGGGTTAGGGTTAGCAGAGGGGTACGAAAAAACCCTCTCTGTTTCATAGATTGATAAAATGATAAAATTATCCTCTCGCGAAGGCGGCCGGGGCGAGCAGGACAGGGGGGGGAGTCGTGCTGGTCTTCGGCAGAGAGAAAAAGCAAGAGGAAAATAAAAGAGGGGAAATTATTGGCGATTTGGTGAGCGAGCCATGCACTTGGGCTTATCGAAAACCGAAACGCTTTCTCACCGCGAACTGTGTCAGCTGCAGCTTCGTCAAGTGTCTGCCCCACCACGATTGCTTGCCGAGCGCGCTCAAGACGTAGTGCAGATACACCAACACGTGCACGGTGCTGTTGAGCATGATCGGCAGGTACATGTCGCCGTTGAAGTCTGCGAGAGGGACAAGCGAGCATCGGCGGCTAAGTGGCGTGGTTTCGTTGGGGGATCTGCACAATGGAGTGCGATGGGACATACTTGGACGTCCAAGCGGTGGCACAAAAAAAAACAGCTCACTGAACAAGCTTCAGCACATATATCCCTTTCGACTGCTGTGGTTTTATCTCAAACAGGTAGTATTTCTGTGAAATTGTGCCTACTCTCTAAAAACTACCAGCTAAGTGTGTGTGGGGGGGGGATGCGAGGCTCTTCACCATGCGTGCCATGGTGTACTCTCGATCTACAAAGTCGGCATATCATGGGACGATCAATTACGCAAACTATCTTCGCTGGTAACACACGCATGGGCTCGCCGATGCGTCGGTTTGTTTCGTTCTTGTTGAAAAACGAAAGCGCCAATGTTCTGACTGGGGCATCACCACAATACTGCTTTCTCCGTGGGAAGGCCTAAAAAAATAGACTCCGAATAAGTGCAGCAGCCCTTCCTCAACCTGCACCGCGAAAGACTTCCAACACATGCCTTCGAACGGGGGTATTTGCTCGAGCGGGTAGTAGTCCTTCTATCATGCTACACGTGTAGATATTCTCTACAAGGAGCGCTTGGGTTCAGCAGAGCATACTACGTGTCATCAAGGCGTGATGCAAGTTGAAGGCAAAAAAAGCATGCGTTGGGCCAGCGGCCATCAATGACAATTCCCAAGCTCAAACAGCTCACACAGCCGACCGGTTCTTGACTCGAAGAGCCCAGCGAACCTCAACCAGCCAAAAAAGAACAAATTCATAAAAATCGGACAGCAGTCTCGTTGAAGTGCTGCTGCCAATGTAGCAGTGAACGAGGCTTGGCAGCGAAGCTATGTATCATCATACTGCTATAGGCCTGTCTGTCTCACGGAAGGTAAGGATGCTATGTATCATACTGCTGTAGGTCTGTCCGTCTCGCCGAAGGGAAGCATGCTATGTATCACCATACTGCTGTAGGTCTGTCTGTCTCGCCGAAGGTAAGGATGCTATGTATCATCATGCTGCTGTAGGTCTGTCTCACCGAAGGGAAGCATGCTATGCATCACCATACTGCTGTAGGTCTGTCTGTCTCACCGAAGGGAAGGATGGAACCGACGATGACGGTGATGGAGCAGTGGTGAAACAGATGGAAGAAGGTCACCTGCGCTTGCCATTGCGGCCGCCGCGTGCGCGCGGACGGACAAAAACAGGCATAGGGAACATCGCAGTAGGGTTGAAGGCACAAGGGGGGGGGGTGTACTCATAGTCGTGCATGCCGTAGTCGTTAGACCATTGACCTCGCATCCCTACAAAGCCGGGACGGAGCACGCCGGGTTCTCACCGGACCAGGCTCTCACATCACCAAGCGCGAAGCGCCGTGAGATATTCGGCGAGTCGCATGAAGGGTGCGCTGCATCCTGCTAAGGGTGTTCGGCATCTTGTGCTTACTTCCTTGCGTACGGATGACAGCTGCGTATGACTTAATTTATTTTCTGGTGCTTTCACTTCCAGAGACAGTTGTAAGCACTGTGTAACTGCCTCGAGGGTGCTTGACCATTTTAACACACAACGTGGTGCGATCATCCCCCTTGCGCGGAGCGGGTTCTCCACCCCGGACAACATGATCTACTCGACCACCATTTATGGTTACCGCCTAAAAAAAAAACGGAGGAAAAAAAAAAAAACGGTAACCTGGTTGCCGAGTTCACGAAGTGAATTGGCTTGTTTTACAACGTCTTTGCCAAGCGATGAAAACCCAACCCCGATGGCAAACACCGGGGGGGGCGGGGGGGGTACAGTGGGACGGGGACAACCAAACGCGGCGGTTGGAGAGTAGCATAGCACCGTAACAGGCGGAGGTATGGCACCCTCCCTAGACCTATGTTGAACGATCGATTGCTCCACAACGAAGCTTGTACCAACACCAAACAAGTTGGCTTAGATACATCTCGGTGAGGGCTCTTCGTGCACGTATCGGTCTCTTTCCGTACCCACTTTGTTGTGGAGCGATCGAGATTTGCCAGTAGTTTTAGGGGATGTGCAATCTCTCCGCCTCTGGTGAGATCTACATGGCCAGGGTAGACAGCAGCCGTTAAAACCAAGCCCGTGGAATCATGGCATCCCCGAAACGGGTCGCGACACACACGATTCGCTTCGCAGGGCACCCTCGCCACTTGAACAAGGGCGAGAAATCGCGCATCATTGGCTTCACGCTCGTTTTTACCCCGCGGGATGTACGACACGGCCGTGTTCCGACTTGGGATTTTCGCTTACGTACGAGAAAACTCAACTGCTGTGTAACAAAATAAAATTAAGGATATATTATATGATGCGAATATCGGACACAAAGCAGACCGAGCAGGTAAGCAGTCTTTCTGTGATTCATGTACGCTTTCTAAGAATATCTCAGACAACCTGCCCCTGACAACGAGCGCTCGCCATACTTGTTCCACGCACTGCCAACCCGGAAGAAGTGGATGTCAACGAGAGGGAGACTCGCCTGTCTAAGGATCTCCGCCACATGTGTTTCATGCGCTGCCAACCCGGAAGTGAGTGACAACGAGAGAGACTCGCCCTTCTAAAGGATCTCCACCAAATGTGTGTTCCACGCGCTGCCAACCCGGAAGTGGGTGACAACGAGAGAGACTCGCCTGTTCGACAGGGCCTCCGCCACAAGTGCTGCCAACCCGGAAGTGGATGACAACGAGAGCGAGACTCGCCCGTCTTAAAAAAGCAAACCTTAAGGATCTCCGCCATACGCTTTCCATGCACTGCCAACCCGGAAGAAGTTCATGTCAACGAGAGGGAGACTCACCTGTCTAAAGGATCTCCTGAGCAGGAACAGGAAGGTGTCCACCAGCTCCAGGTACTTCTGCAGGTAGAACACCGCGAACACCCTCGCCACCATCTGCCCCTGAAGGTCGGTGCGGAGGGGGTTGCACACGAAACCGCTGACTCCCCCTGCCCCCCCTGGGGACACGACGGACCCGTCCCCTCCCCCGCCGTTGAAACCCCTCGAGCTTACCTTGAAGAACAGGAGGCTGCACGCCACGAAGAGCGAGATGCAGACGTTTAGGGTGTTATAGCCGAGCATGAGCGCGCGCAGACGCACAGGCTCTTTCCTTCTCTGCGGACGGACGGGGGGGGCATCGGGGGGGGCGTGTACTCATAGTCATGCATACCGTAGTCGTTAGACCATTGACCTCGCATCCCAACAAAGCCGGGACGGAGGGGGGGGGGCATGAGGGGGGGGTGCGGTGTACTCATAGTCGTGCATGCCGTAGTCGTTCGGCCATTGGAATCGGGGGGGCACGGAGGTGCGGTTTAATCTCTCGTCTCTCTACAAGTCTTTCTCTCTGTGTCTTTCTCTGTCTTCTCTCAAAGTAGCAGTGGTCGGGAAAAGTCCGACACTAGAGCCGTCGTTGAAGCTCAAGTTTCAACGTTCAGCAGTATCATACACCCGAAGAAAAGAAAGCTCCTCACACCGAAGCCGCCCTACCTATTCCACGCCGTTGTCGAAACGGGTGTGTGAGGTGGTGGTGCCTTCATAGACACTTCACGAACAGGCAGGGAAGAACGGCAACACATGGCCTTAGAGGTCGTGCTCCAAGCATTGCTGCTTCCCATGGTACCGCCAGTGCACTTGCTCTGCTCTACGCGAGGATAGCCTCCCAACGACCGGAAACTATTGTTGTCATTCTCGATCTCCTCCAAGCCTCGCTGTTTGCCAGCGTGCCGCCACTGCACTTGGCGCTCTACATGCGGTAGCCTCTCAATGACCTGGGCTTCATGTATGATTATTCTCGACCTCCTCCAAGCCCTGATGTTCGCTAGCATGCCGCCACTTTGTCTGGTGCTCTACATGCGGATAGCATTCCCAACGACCTCAGGTTCTACCCTCATAAGTAGAAAATAGTCTTCACACGACCACATTAAGACTGCCCGTTCCAGATAATACCACAGCACTCGAAGACTTGGTACTTCATGTCATTCTCAATGCCCTCCAATCCTTGCATTGTCAACCTCCTCCCTAGCCTTGCTGCTCATCAGCATGCCGCCATTGCATTTGCGCGAGATTCTAGACTTGTGTGCATATGCCGTAATTGTGCGTGTTATCGCACCCCGGTGTGCGTTGTTCTATAGAGTATTTCTCAACATCTAGGAGGGTGCGAACACTAACCGACACCTCTCCGGAAAGCCCTCGACGAGATGTTTCCAAAACCATCCTTTTCGGAGGTACTCGTCGAGCGCTTTCCGGAGAGGTATCAAATAGTGTTCGCACCCTCCTGGTTGTGCAAGTATACGCTAAAGAAAAACGCGAACAAGGGGGGGCGATAACACGCACAATTACGGTATATCGCGCCCCCAAAACCGATTTATACCAAAACAACAAGCCAAACACACCCTCTATTTATCATCCCCGCGAGAGCCAGGGCTGCATTAGCGTTCTGAGTGTACTGTACCGTAGGAGTCGGAGAGATAGCACCCCCCCTAGACTGACTGTCAAAGGTGGATTACTCCACAACGAAGGGGGTGCGGAATAGCCGGATATGTAGTGCTACGCAGACCTTGACGAGATGATTCCATCTTTGGTGTTGACACGATCTTGGTTGCGGAGTGGTCGAGCTTTGAAACTCGGTCTAGGGGGGTGCCATCTCTCCGGCCTCCTTTTATGGCATTCTCGAAGTCCTCTCAAGCCTTGGCTGCTCACCAACATGCGGAGATAGAGCAGGACCACCAGCCCCAGATATAAGAAATTGGCGCACACGAGCAGACCCTCCTCGGTGCCCACGCTGTACAGGTTCACCACCCGCGTAGAGGGTTGTAAGCCGGCCGCCACACGATCCTGGTACTGTCCCAGCGCCACCTCATAGCTGATGTACGTACAAGTACACCACAGCAGGCAGCACCAAGCGGTCAATTAGTTGTGCATAGTCTAGATTGCTGTACAGGCGGATAGATGTCGTATCCATAGCCTACATATTTAGTGCAATGTGCGTGCGATCCACGTTGCATGAATTGTTGAGAGAAAAAATAGCGTGAGCACTGCGAGGAGGCCGGCACTGTGCCAGACGGAATACTGATCCTGTGCGGTACATTGTTGTGTCGTGAGAGAGGTGGTTGCAGCACACAGGCAGAGGCACAGTGAGATAAGCTCTTGTAGTGTAGAGTACGCCCGCCGCCCTGCACAGGCCACGAGCCAAAATCGTCGCTACATTGGGTTGGAACTCAACTTGTCCCTCAGGTTATAGCTCACCTCTGCGAGACACGTTGGTACATCCGCACGAACACCATCACGCCTTAGTGGTGGTGGAAGGACGAGCTAGCGGCCCGGTCACTCCGTTCACCCTGTCTCCGCCCGCCCCTGCTGCTGCTGCTGTTCCAAATTTAAAACCGAATTTGTTCTTGTCGTGCAGCTCTATACAACATCCCAGGCTGCTGTGTCCCTCCCCTCGTCCGACCATACGAGCTGGGGTAGCTTGCAGACCTGGAGCTGGCCTTATGCACTACCTCCTGTCGATGGAAGGGCACACAATAGGCTACTGTATTGAGCACCGCATCCCACAGGTGCTAGATGATGGATGGTAGAGCGGTTCCAAGCGGGGGGCCCGAAAATTGTATATGGGAATGCGACTCCCTGCGCTACTATGGCATCCTTCTAGTTGGCGGCGCTCCTCCTAATGTTCCTTTGACCACGCCCCACACACAGAACATGGTGCTTGGTCTTCCCAGGTTGACAGCACGCCAGAGAAGAGGAGGATAACTAGGTAAGGGTGATAGTTGGCATTGTGTTTATTCCCTTGATGTTTGGCAAGGTTGAGTTATTGCCGAGGACGATATCTGTGCTGCCGATAAGGCCACCATTTGATGAGCTACATTGTACCTATTTAGTCGTCAACCCCAGTGCGGCCCCTCACGGCGATGCAATCTGTGAAGTCCATCGTGCTTGTGAACGGCCACTGCCATAATGATAGGTGCACAACGATGCCTAGTATGCTCATGAGAGGAGAGTATCTTCGGAAAGGAGGAAACACGTTCTTCTCGCGCGTGTACCACTTTCTCTGCATACCCACCCCGCACGAGCCAAATTACTCCGCTCCCCGAATATTCCACGACCATCCCCACGTTTGGTTGACCGCTATCCTTAGGGGAGTGTCGCCGAAAATGGTGGACACCTCTGTTTAGAGTGGTGAAGGTGTGGAGCGTTCTAGCTCTTATTCGCATCAAACTTGTTCGCAACAATATGTGCGTTGCGACGCACACCAACACACGAACACTTGTAAGGGGGGGGGGGCTAGGTGCGAACGCCGAACCAGGAACCAGGTTTGCCAACTTGCGGCAACAAACCAGTTGCGCCGCAAGTTGGTTGCATACAAGTTTGATGCAAACAAGAGATGGAACGCCACGCACCTACACCACGCTAACATTAGAGTGGATGAATAGCCGACAAAATTTGGAGGTGGCGGTTGTGCGGCTGCATGCAGAGAGACCGCTCTCGCTTTGAAGTGGCATCGTCAAAGGCGCTTTGCCCGTTGTACCCTAAAGACAACGACGCGGGCACCGTGCATACCGTAGCTGCGTTGTAAACCGTAAACTCGTGCACGGGGTGTCTGCAGTCGCCAGCGTAGTCTCATCCTCATCCACCCCTTTCTTGCCCCTCTCTCCCGCTCTCTGTGCTGTGTTAAACTGATCACTGGCTGTGTTGACCTGACAACTGTGTTCAACTGACTGCATTGCAAATCCCAGGCGTTGGAAGTCGCAGCTCCTGGCTTTTGGTGAGGCTCACCCTCCCCTCTCTCGCCCCTCTCTCCCTGCTGTGTTGGACCAAAATTGCGGTGTTGCGAATCCCAGGCATTGAACTCGCTGCTCTGGGCTTGGTGATACTGCTGTACTGCTTTCTTCTCCTAGGAGAACAAGTCGAGGGCAACCACCAAGAAGCAGGTTGCTGCGGAAGAAGATTTGGGCGTTTCAGGGGCCCTTATACCGTCCAGGGATCAGGGGGTCTAAACACCAACACAACCAGCAAGAACCGTTTTGGGGGGCGAGATAATTCGTTGTGCGAGCGGCGCTCTGGTAAAGGACGGCTTTTCTGATCATGGCGCAGCCGTGTGCGGTGGCCACCACCGGCCCGCTTCAGGCGGCGAGAACTCAAGAAACAACGACGGCGACGTCGACAGCAGCCCTAGCCAGCAGCAGGCGACGGCCCCTCTCCCTTCCCCTGCTGCCATTCGTCTTCGCCACCCTTGTTGTGTTCTTGGGCGGCGGGACTGTTCGGCCGGTGGCCTCAGAAAGCCTTCTCGTGCCCGCCAGCGGGAAGCTGACGGTGGGGGAGGGCGACANGGGGGGGGGGGGGGGGGGGGGGGGGGGGGGGGGGGGGGGGGGGGCTGGTAGCCGTGGGGCGGAGGACGAGGAGGAGGGGGAAGCGGAGCGACCTCCGGACGGGATGTACTTTTTCGTCTTTCCGAACGTAATTGGGCACCTTACAAATCTTACCATAGCAGCACGACAAAGAAAGCTGAAGTGATACAGTGTTCGCATGTAGCGTAGACTGCATGCGTATGCACCAACACGACCATGAGACGTGTTTTTTTTTGTTTTTCTCCCATCATCGGATTCTGTCGTCTGCCCCTCTGGCCCCTATCCTCCACTTCTACTAGCTAGACGACCCAACCGGGGTCACATGTATGCGTATGACGCGAGTACTAATGTAGTAGCGGCAGTATACTCCAGTATGTTGGGTGTGGTTTGTTTTCGTTGTGCGTGTTAATTGTCTTGCAGTTTTGGGGACACAAGATAGGGGGCCGCCTTCGCGAGGAATTAGTATCATCTATGAAATCGAGAGGGGGGGTTCGTAACCCTAAACCCCAACCCCACAACAGTGGAACCTCGGTTAAGTACACACCTGTTTTTTTGCTAAAAAATGTCTTCAAGTCGGGGAAGTATCTTTGAGGTTGACACCCCTCCTTATGTTGTACATTCTGCGAGCCATCATGCCTGTGAAAATATAGCCGTCCTCAACCGTGGGAGTTTTCTTGATTTTGGTGTCCTGTAGCGAGTCACGCCTGTACTAAACTAAAAGCTTTATGACATCCTCGCTGAGGCTATTTACTGAATTTAGGCGGTTCTGGGGTCTGTCGGGCGTGTCTGTACTTCGACGTGCGGACGTCGGCGTGACGTTTGCCGCGGCTGCTGGACCGTACCCCTCTTGTTACTGAGGGTAGCACGGGCTGGCGCTGTTTGCTCAATCCCTCTTGTTGCTGGGGTCTTGCAGCTAGCGCTGTTTCAGCACTTGAAAACTTGGCGGTGTAAAGGATTTTTTTTGGGGGGGGGGCTCGAAGAAAACTCAATATCCGAGAACCATTTGTGAGACCCTGCGCTGAAACCTAAATTTCGGCCAAAACTATAATCCCCTGCCTCCGTCGAAACTACTAGAGGTTCGTGAGGGCGGGTGCCTTCCGTGGTGGTAGCACTCCAAACCCCAGGACCGAACACTGATTGGCTTTTTGGAGCAGTGGCTTTTTCGAGAGCCTGTTTAGAGG